TACTTCTATAAAAAGATCCTATACATGTCCTTTATTCTTCTACTTTTCAAAGCATGGCTAACTTATGAAGAAGAAAGCAGAGAATAGGGACAGGGAACGTAGTGAAAATGAAAGGAAAACGGGTAGCTCCTGCTCCCAATATCTTTGTTCTGTAAGGTCTGTTCATCAATTTCTTTATCAAATTAAGACAGATGTGCACCAAAATTTGCTCAGTCACATTGGCATATTTTCTACACCCTATTATTTTTTCAACTAGGTTTGTACTATCAAAGTGATGGTTTCTGGTTACCTTCACCCAATGGCTTTTTCAACCAAAATTTTCTGGCAAATTAATTCTCTTCACGTAATTTTGGGACTAAAGAATTTGAAGTTTTTCTTCGTTCATATTCAATAATCAATATCTTTTATGCTTTGTCAATATCTTTTACTACATGCGCTGTTTTTCAGTAATATGCAACACATTGGTACGTTTTTCTGGCTCCTTCAAAACTATGTTATCCATCCACTTTAGTTGTTATGCTGCTTCCTTGTTCAGGTCTTGAATGCTGTGGATAAAGGAGAGACACTGATGAAAGCTCTGCAAGATGCTGTACCGGAAGAAGTCCGTGGAAAGCTTACAACTGCTCTATCTGGGATATTGCATGCTCAAGGATCAAACTTAAAGGTTAGGGATTTAACTGGCACTTCTCATAAATCCAATGCCACATTAGAATTGAAGAAAAAGACTGAGGAGAAGGTCAGACATGTGGCAGATGCTGAAGGTTCCTCACAAGTTTCTTCACCTTTGCACGAGATGGGAGTTGTTAAAGATGTTTCAGATGGTTCTGATAGCCATCAACCTACAAAGGACAAGTTTATTGGGGAACTGGAATCTGAGCCTCCTTCCTCGGACCAAAATTCTATTGATCAAAATGGTTCTCAGCCACTTAGCATTCATGGTGATGATACTATCAGTTCTATAAGGAGGGAGACCAGTGGCTCTGGTAGTACTGTTTCAGATGATGAATTTTCTAGGGAAAATGCTTCCCAGTATTTTGATAGTGGTGGGAAAGAACTAGACATAAGTGGGAAGCCAGAATTTTCAAGCAAGGTTGAACAGTTAGGTTCACACGAAGTAGCCATTGGTGATAATTACAAAGACCAGGGTGGTGGAATTGCTCAATCAGATGAGGAGGAAGAGAGTAAACGCAAGAAAAATGAAGAGAAAGCTATAGATCCTTCAATTGATGATAAGGCGGTGTCATCTCTTACAATAGAGGAAGCACTTTCATCAGCAGGGTCTACTTCAGAGACACATCGAGTAGAACATGAATACAATAATGATCAGATGGATACAAATAGTGTGCAACCTGTTGTAGAACATACCAAGCCTTTCGTTTCTGAATCTAATGTCAACAACTTCAGCGTTTCTCAGGCTTTGGATGCCTTGGCAGGGATTGATGATTCCACCCAGTTAGCAGTCAATAATGTATTTAATGTAATTGAAAATATGATCTCGCAGTTGGAGGGTTCAGAAAATGAAAGTGAGGACAAGAAGACTGATTCCTTAGTTAACAATAATTGCTCAGGTAACGATAATGAAAAGTCATCAGGGAAGAAAGAATGTGGTAACATGAATTCGTCTGTAAAATCTGAAAGGCTAAGTGGTCCTCGTATAATTAATATCCTGGAGAGGAGAGGAGAATCAGAGCATAATGTTACAAGTGGACGGGAAGAGGAGGAATTCACTTCAGACCTGGTCTCAATTAATAGGAGCTATTTGATTAGACCTCAGTCAGCCCAAGTTGGCCAGGATGAAAATGAAAAGGACGAACTACTTGATTTGGATGGCAATGTGGACATGACTTCAAATGCGTATTTAGATTCTGTTCACAGTAATTTTTTCTTGAAATACATTGCCTCAAATATGCCTACTAAATCACTTGATAAGGATACGACTGCAACATTGTTGCTTGATTATATTCCTGAAAAAGATCAGTGGAAGTTTATTGAACACCCGGGAAATGAAAATGGTGCTATTTCAACATCTGAAGAACTTGAAGGACAAGTGAATTCCTATGCACATGCAAAAGGGAAGAATACTGATGATGTTATTGAGCCACTTTATATGATCTTGGACAGTGACAATCAGCCAGAGTCAGTTGGGGAATATCAAAACACAGTCAATGGAAACGAAGAAATCAAATGTAGTGATGGACAAAACGATTTGGAATACTTTGTTAGGTCTATTATACAGGACAGTTTGAAGGTTGAAGTTGGTCGTAGGTTGAGTGCAGCTAACAAGGACTTAAAATTGGGCGTTGACAGAGACATTGAACATGTTGCAAATCTGTTGTCAGTGGCTGTTAAATATGGCAGTGGATGCAGACAGTGCTTAGGAAGTAAAAGCGACAGCATTAATTCCATTGCAGATAAAATGGGTACTCTTTGTGGCGAGCAGATTATTAGATCAATTTCATCTTCTGTTCAGGAAACTGTTTACTTGAAAAAAATTCTTCCTTTAGGTGTTATCATTGGCTCTAGCTTGGCAGCTTTAAGAAAATCTTTTCATGTGACTACGCTGCACGATGATAACCAGGGAGAATGCTTGGGCGTTGATCAAGCTAAGAAATCTGGTGACAGAAATCAAAATGTTATACTGACCGATACAGTGGGTGGGGAAGAAGGATGTGCTGAAATGAGAAGTTTAAATAAAGATACTGTTGTGGTTGGAGCTGTCACAGCTGCTCTTGGAGCATCTGCTTTACTGGTACATCAGCAGGTATATGTTGCTTGGAAATTTTTGTTTTTTGCATTGCCTTTTGCACCTTGATGTGATCAGTCCCCGAATCATACATATAATATATATATATATACACACACATATAACATATGTAGCAAAAGGAAACAAGACTTTTCATTAATGCTGGAAAAGATTCAAAAGTGAACAACAAATCTAAGTCTACAAAGTGTGGACTAAGGGAAGATTTGCAAAACAAAGAAACAGCAAATACAATGTAAAGATCAAGAAACCAAAGCAAACAAAGGCGAGAAGTATCTTGAAACTTGGAAGAAAGCCCCCAATTATTACAAATATCTTCGATTGAATAAAAAGAAGAAGAAAAGAATGCAAGTATTCATTCTTGCTTTTAATTCTTCGCTTCTTGTTGTTCCATGGGGACTTTTCAAATCTCTTCCTTTGTTCTGTCATTTTAAAGTTGACATTAATTTGGAGTTCAAAATATTTTCCTTCATTCCTAGGGATTAATTCTTATTTATTACTTCCTCACCATGCATGTATATAGAAGTAAATGTGATCATTGTTCTGTTTATATTTGTGCTTTAAATGTGTTTCTGAACTCAAACACGCAGAATTTATGTGGAACTGATGACACTACTGAAAGTTCATTCAAGTCCAAGGAGAAAGCTAGTCTTCAGAAAGAGCCAGAAAGGCATGACGAGCAGATAATACCTGAAAAGAATCATAACATCGTCACTGCTCTTGCTGAGAAGGCAATGTCAGTTGCTAGTCCAGTGGTGCCCAAGAAGGAAGATGGTGAAGTAGATGAAGAAAGGTTTTGGCCGCAAATGCATGTCTTACACAATTTTTTATGTCCTTTTCTCTTTTTCTAAGTATTTCTTCCCTTTTCAAACAGGCTAGTCACTATGCTAGCTGAATTAGGAGAGAAGGGCGGCATATTGAAGCTAGTAGGAAGAATAGCTTTACTCTGGGGTGGTATACGTACTGCAATGAGTGTGACTGAAAAACTTATCTCGATTCTTCGAATAGCTGAACGTCCTTTGTTTCAGAGGTAATTTCAATTGCAAAACTCCACTGCATTTCTCCAAAGTATTGAATACTGTTGTCGAAGCTAGCTATTGACTACTTTGATGTTCTTTCGTTTTTGTCAAGGATAGATGTTGCCATTTTCTTAGAGATTCAGTTAACAGCTTTTCTTTAGCTTGATGATAAAGCTGGCTATGGGATTTAGATGGAACCCTCTCTTCGAAAGGGACTTGAGCACCAGATACCAAGTAGAACGGTTATCATTAAACAAATTTTGGAATGACTAGTTGGTAACATCCATTGCTTGCAATGCCCTTAGTTTCTTCGATTGCAAAGAAAATGAAAAATGAATGAAGGAGAAGAAACGAAATGCAGGAGAAAACCCTATACATTTATGTAGAGAGAATACCAGCCATATACGGAGCCTTGGGCAGGAATACTCCTAAAATAACTCATACACGCTGGAATTATTCTTCTAACAGAATGGAAAATCCATAATACACGCGGGCCATAGAAAAGCAATATAAGACCCATAATACAAAAAGACCAATAAAAGGAAAAAAAAAACAACATAATGGGCTTTGGCCTTCAATATCAATGGGCTATCTTAACACCTAGTTATGGTTAAACAACTAATTGGAAGAAACTGAATTTACCCAAATCTCTATAAGATCATAACAGGCGGTTGACAAATATATCGACTCTTCTAATTTCTTGACATGTGCCTTCATAGATTATGATTTAGGAAATGAGTTGTACCTCCCCTTTCTCCTCCCCATGTTCCCCTTTTTCCCAATTCTTTTCTTCTTATTAGTTGAAAGAGAGGAAACCTGGGCATCTGACAGCAAAGAAAGAATCCCAATACACGGCTAGGTAAGTGGAATGGGTTCTTTTGCAAATTCAATTGATCTATAATTTCTTTCTTCCCAATCCTCTTTCTTCCTTTCCAAAATTTATTTAATAAAAATTATCATAAATTAGAAACATGAGAAAAAAACAGGTATAGATTTGAAAGAGTTGAGAGCACAATCACAAGCTGAAGATTCTCCTTAATAGATAATTCTCGCAGCTGTTTTTCATAAATCGTCAATTCGGTTCTTTACTTTACTCTTTCCTGTTAGGTGCAAATAAAGTCAAATATTGGCTAGGGAAAGGAGAAATCAATAGTAGTGAGGACAATTATCTCTGTTGGTATAGGGTCTTTTGGGTAGAAAAAAAATATCATGAGGGCTTATGCTCATAGTAGACAATACCATATTAATTGAAGATATGTGGAGGTGGGTGCGTTGTCCTCATCAATTGGTATTAGTCATAGCCTAAACCTAGTTATGTGTTGGAGCAATCCTTAGATGCCAAGCAAAGAGAGTTAATGAGCCTCATTTGTGCTCTATTTAGCCTTAATAAGAGAAAAATAAACATTCTTTGTCAATTGTTGTTTGTGCTCGTGCTCTATCGGATGTTGTGTCAGGGAGAAAAACAAGTTCTCGCTATTTGGAGGGGATAGATTTGTTTGAAGGGAGACTCAAGTGTGGTACTTTGTTTGGGGGAGGGTTGTTAGGTGCAAATAAAGTCCCACATCAGCAAGGGAAGAAGAGATCCATTGTGTATAAATGAGGAGAGATCCATTGTGTATAAGTGAGGACAATTATCTCCATAAGTATGAAGCTTTTGAGTAAAACAACAAAGGGCTTATGCCCAAAGTGGACAATATCGTACCAATATGGAGATATGTGGAGGGTCCATTATACTTATCACTGCTTTTCTAGCCAATTTATGATTCTTTTTATCTCCTTTCACCATATTTTTTCCATCATAAATTGTATGAATTTGTTACCCTTTTTCTTCATTGTAATTTCACTATTAAATTATGGGTTTATCTTCTCCACCAGATCAATGCTTGTTGGGTAATTCTAAGGGATTCACAGCAGATAGTCGGTAACCTTTCAAGTAAAAGATGGATAACCTTTTAAAAATGCTGCATGGTTGTGCTGTTATGTTGGAGGGTATGGTTGGAAAGAAACTAATATAATTTGCAGGATAATCATGTAATGGAGGCGTTGTTTGTTATAGTATCATTTTTTACTTGGATTTTATTAGTACTTTCGTTTTTCAACACTCTAGATGGGCAAGTTTCTTATAATTTATAGTCTCTTATAGATTGAGGGTTCCTCATCTTCATTATACTTGTTTATTCGATGAATAAGTATTCATATCTTTGATCTAATGTTTATTGATTTACTCTTTATCTCAACTGTTTTGTAGGATTCTTGGGTCTGTCGGTTTGGTGCTTATTTTATGGTCACCAATTACTCTTCCACTGCTTCCCAAACTTGTTGATAGCTGGACTTCTCATACTCCCTCAAAAATTGCTAATCTTGCTTGTGGTTTTGGTCTTTATATCGCTCTCACGATTCTTGTTATGATGTGGGGCAAAAGAATACGTGGGTATGAAGATCCAGCAAAAGAATATGGGCTGGATTTGGCATCTTGGTTTAAGGTACCATTTTCAACTTGGCACTTGATAAAAATCTTGTTAAGAACTGTGACTTTGCTTGCGTCTCTGCCTTGTTGGAGGGGAGATATCAGCTGATGTTGCTTGCATAATTTAAATAGTTTTTATCATTTTTTATCTTTATTTAGATTAGATACTATTCTCAAGAAAATGAAATTTTCAATACTGGGGAAGATGATTCTTTCCTACGGAAGAAGATGTTAGGGTCGCACAACAATGCACACGCTCGATCTAGATGAACACAAAGAACAAGATAGAGAAAAGTGCAAGGAGAACTCTGGCTAAAAGGATTTTTTTTTTATTGATGACTTCACATATGTATAGGAAGAGAGAATTACAGAGAATACAGAAAGTACATTTTCAAAATTCTACCGGAGGATATATATATAGTTCAATTTACTATATATAGCTTTACCAGATTTAACCATTTATCTATTTACTATATATAGCTTTACCAGATTTAACCATCTACTATATATAGCTATTTACCATATATAGCTTTACCGGATATAACCGTTGACCAAGCTATAAATAAGCAGCAGGCTCCATAACCTAACAATTCTCTCACTTGGAGACTGATCTAGTCAACCAAGAATTTCATTCTCAAACGACCATGAGCATCTTCATGGCACCATATCAATTGAGGCTTTGCACAACCTCAATATTCCAACATCAACACATTTTGTCAAACATGTTTGTTGGATTCTTTGCACCCTCTATCTTCTCCAAACACATCACCATCTTTCACTAACCTGCAAGTGAAATGGTATCGTCTTTTGTGTTTTCTCTTTAAATGATAGACCGGGTTCCTTCGCCAACTGTATGACACTCTGACTATCTCTATAAAGAATATCTTCGTGCTACTTCTTGCTCATTCTTCCAGATAGTCAATCATCCATATCGTCTTCTTTCCAGCTTCAGCTATTGCCACGTACTCAGTCTCAGTACAACGCATTTTTGAAGCCTAGACGTCCCATCATCCATGGCTTGCTCCCACTTGGTTGTATACTCCAACTGTAGGGCCTCCTCAAAGGGTTGTGGTTCCCTTTCATCAGCGACAGATAGTGTAATGAAGGTACATACATATCTGGTACTCCGATAGTACAGGATGATCTTCTCAACACCGGTTCAGGTGTCACTTGCTCTACTGCTGGTTCCTCTGCAACAACCTCAGGAGTTTGTTGAGTATCTGCTACAAGATCACTAGGTGATTTTTTCCGCAACTCAACCTCAACTCCTACTTGCTTTGTTGTCTTGGAACCTTGCTCCACATCTGGTTCCTCACCAGTAGTCTCAGGAGTTTCTTGATTATCTGCTACATCATCACTAGGTGAGTTTCCCTGCAACTCAAGCTCAACTCCCACTTGCTTCGTGGTCTTGGAACCTTGCTCCACATCTAGTTTCTTAGCAGTAGTCTTAGGAGTTTCATGAGTATCTGCTACAACATCACTAAGTGAGTTTTCCTGCAACTCAAGCTCAACTCCCACTTGCTTCGTCGAACCTTGCTCCACATATGGTTCCATTTCCAATCGCACTTTCTTCAATCCTCTGGCGGTCCTTGTGAAGCTAACTCGTTTCTGCTTGCTCATAACGTAGTTCTCACAACGACCCACATCAACAGATTTTAGATCTTCTAAAACTCCTTTCGCAGCTAGCCTCTTCATTCCTTTCGCGCTCATATGCTCGAGTCTAATGTGCCGTAGACTTGAATTTGAAGCACTCTCAGCAATAGCAGCTATGTTCATACACCCTGCAGTGGTATATAAGGTTCTAGATTTTGAGCCACGTGCTACCACCGTACCACCCTTCATAATCTTCCACGAACTCTTCCCTAACTTTGTTGCATAACCTGTGTTGTCCAACTGACCAATAGAGATCAGGTTCCTTTTGAGACCAGGAATATATCCGACATCCTTTAATATCTACTGATTTCCTGCCGGAGTTTTTATGCAGACATCTCCTTTTCCTTTAATCTCCAAATCTTTGTTGTCGGCAAGATACACCTTCTCGAAATTTTCAGACTTAAAATTCCTAAACAACTCTTTATTTAGAGACGAATGAAAAGATGCACCTGAATCCAAAATCCAGGATTCAATCGAACTGTCCACGTTGAGGATTAGAGCATCCCCAATGTCTTCTGCTGAATTTATAGAATTATCATCATCTCCAGATTTTTGATTTTGCTTCCTCTTTGGTCTTGTACAACCTGTCCGAAAGTGACCTTTTTCTCCACAATTCCAACACGTTACGTTTGGTCTATAGGAGATTTTTCTCGGTTCTTTGATTTTGATCGCCCTTTGTTTGGGCCCTTCGGTTTACTTCTTCCCCGTTGGTCAACACTAAGAGCACTACCAGATAAATTTCCAATTTCTCGTTTGCGAGTACTTTCGCGGAGAACTACATCTCGAATTTCATCAAACTTCAGTTTATCAGATCCTTGCGAACTGCTGATTGCGGCAACAACAGTATCCCACAACTCGGGTAAAGATGACATCAAAATCAATGTTTTAATTTAATCCTCAAAATTAATTTCCACCGAACTCAGTTGACTTACGATCATATTGAATTCATTTATATGATCAACAACAGACCCACCTTCAGACATCTGTAGGTTGAACAATCTCCGCATCAAATATACCTTGTTCATAGCCGACGGTTTTTCGTACATATTTGACAGCGTCTTCATCAAATCTGACGTTGTCTTCTCCTTGATGATATTAAAAGCCACATTTCTGGATAGCGTCAACCGGATCATCCCTAAGGCTTTTCGATCCTTGAGCTTCCACTGCTCCGTGGTCATGGTATTCGGCTTCACCCCCAACAGAGGTTCGTGAAGATTTTTCTGGTATAGATAATCTTCAATCTGCATCTTCCAGAAACCAAAATCGGATCCATCAAACTTCTCAATTCCAATCTTTGAACTTTTCATCTTCACAGATCGTGGTGAATTTCGCCTAGCTCTGATACCAGTTGTTAGGGTCGCACAACAACGCACACGCTCGATCTAGATGAACACAAAGAACAGGATAGAGAAAAGTGCAAAGAGAACTCTAGCTAAAAGAATTTTTTTTTTTTTTATGGATGACTTCACGTATGTACCGTAAGAGAGAATTACAGAGAATACAGAAAGTACATTTTCAAAGCTCTATCGGACGGGATATATATATATAGTTCAATCTATTATATATAGCTTTACCAGATTTAACCATCTACTATATATAGTTTTACCAGATTTAATCATCTACTATATATAGCTATTTACCATATATAGCTTTACCGGATATAGCTTTACCAAATATAGCTTTACCGGATATAACCGTTGATCAAGCTATAAATAAGCGGCAAGCTCCATACCATAACCTAACAGAAGAATGGGTACAAGACTCGTCTAGATGGTTACATGGAAAACAAACTTGGAGGAGAATATCATATCAGGAAACAATTACCAACTAAGGGCTAATTACAAATTAGGAAATAAAAATATTAAAAAAAAAAATGTAAATTATAATGACATTCCCTTCAAGCTGGTGAGTGAATATTTTCCGTTCCCAGTTTGCTAACCAAATTCTAGAAGTTGTCTATTATGAAAATATCTGCTATTTGATTATTGGTTGACATAAATGAAGTGCAAATTAGACCACGATCCAACCTCTCTTTTATAAGGTGCAATCAACTTCTAATTGCTTGGTTCAATCATATTGAATTGGATAATAGGTGATACTAATAACAGACTTATTATCACATTACGGCTTCATAGTCCTTCCTCATGGAATCTTCAAGACTTCACAGATAATTTTATCTAGAGTAATTTACAAATTCCTAAGGCCATCGCTCGAATTCTGATCTCGATCTTGTGCAGCCACATTTTGCTTTTTACTTCTCCATGTTACCAAATTTTCACCCAGAATTAGAAGGTGATTTTTACCAACTACTGAACATGCATAAATATGCATCCTAAATTGAGTTACTCGCCATTCTTAAACAACAATCCCCTCCCAGTGGAATTCTTCAAATAATGAAATATCATATGCATTTCTTTATAGTGAACTGTTTATGGGATATGCATAAATGGACTTACCACTCCCACAACCTAAGTAATATCTGGTCTAGATATATCAATTTGCTAAACCTTTTATAAGTTTCCTTATTTACTTGATGTCTTCTATTTCACGTAATGTGTTCCCACTAGTTTGCCACCAAGGTTCCCTAAGTCAGTCACGTATTTCTATTGTGAAAAGAATGTATTGTTTAGAATTGTTTACTTTGATTCAATGGAAATATTTCATCTTTCCAAGTTTTTTCACTTCAAATTCATTAAACCATTTTCTTAGTTGATCTTGTTCATTACTATTGTTCCTGTGACAATATATTATGAACATTAACAATTAGTGCTATAACAACCCATGCAGTCAAATGTTTTATGAACAACTTAGGATCTCCTTGACTTTGTCTGTAGCCCATCTTCCTCATAACTTGAGAGAATCTACCAAATCACGCTCTAGGAATTATTATTTTTTTAATCCGTACATGTTCTTTCATTTACAAACCTTATTTCTTGTTTGCTCATATTCAAGTGAAATCTCCATCTAAATTTCTTCTTCCAAGTCATCATGCAGAAAAGCATTCCATCTTTATTTAGATTGGATAGTACCTTTCCTTTTTTTTTTTTTTTTTTTTTTTTTTTTTTTTTTTTTTTTTTTTTTTTTTTTTTTTTTTTTTTTTTGTCCAACATGTTGGGAGTTGGATTCGAGCCAAAAGCCCTTTTATTGAAGATATGGTACCTTATCCAGCTGAGCTATGTGTGGGTTGGTTGATATTATCTTTCCATTATTTGTCGATATATTTTCTTAATTACTGTGAATTTTTGTTAGATTCCATGTTTGTTAATTCCGCTGTACTATCTATTTGTGAGATAATAAACATTATTCTCTCTAAACAAACTTCAGTTTTTCTTCACCACTAATAATATTTAGCTCCTTGCATGCAGAGTTATGATTTTCTTATGGCCTTCTTTGGAGGAGTTGCGGGTCTCTTGGGAATTCAATGTGTAAATGGATTTCTTGGTTACACAACTCTTTCATTGCCAGCTATTCCAACTTTGGTGAACTGGGTTTCATGGTTAAAGGTGCTAGGGGGAAGTCTGTTGCTGGTTAGTGTTGGAGTTATATCATCAATATTTGTTACAGCAGTGGAAGAATTTCTCTTTAGGTCATGGTTAACTGAAGAAATTGCTTTGGATCTCGGATACTACCCAGGGATTATCATTTCAGGACTAGCTTTCGCAATATTACAGAGGTAAAATTTTCATTGTTTGATTATATCTCCCTTCCGCCCTATAATCTTGGTTGGTTGGTTGTCTGTTTTTTATTTTGGTTTTCTTTTGAAATTATTTTCGTGTTGTCTTTTTTATTTTTAACACTGCTAACATTTTTTTTTTCCTCCATGTTACCAATGGGGAAATTTTCTTACTTCAAGATATATGTTTGGAGTATTAAAAAAAAGGGGTAAAATACGTTTTTGGTTAGTTTTTATTTTTACCTTAGAGGTTTGAATTTGGTTTTTATTTGGTCCATAAGCTCTAGGATTTTACACATTTACCCTTAAAACTTTTACTAGAGCTCACTTTTAGTTATTTGTGTTAATTTTCTATTTATGAACTTAAAATAAATAAATTAATTACAATTAAATTAGTTTTCATTACTTCTGGTCATCATTAAAATTAATTGATAAATTCACACCATATTATTTTAAATTAATTATTTGAAAGTTAATACCATAGACCTAAAGCGAGCCTTAGTTATTCAGGGTAAAAATGTAAAATCTAGAAATTTTGGGACCAAATGTAACTAAACTCAAAATGGGAGGAAAAATGTAGCATTGGGACTTAAAATTGAGGGACCGAAAAAGAAAAATAAATAGATAAAAAGATATATGTTTGAACACAATTAAATGAACTAGGTAATAGATTAAACAATTTGATTTTCGTCATTTACTGTTCAAAGGGAGGAAATTTTCTTTAATATTCCATGCAAGAGACATGACAAGTGTGTTCCTAACAACTGTTGCTCAATCCAAAGTAGTATGCATTTGCTTCTCCTCCTTAGTCGATTACAAAAATATTATATTTTTCATTAAATGCGTTGGTTAATTTGTTCTATGATCTCACTATTTGACTAATGCATCAAATTATTTGTTTATATTTTTTCCCTATGAGTTCAGTTTTTTTCTTTTCCATTCCTATACATAATGCAAAGTCGAGAACAATATGTGGAACCATTTTATTCTCTTTCAATTGAATTTCAAGACAAGAGCGCCTTTCTTTTAGGAGGCAAGTTATGTGTTTAGGAGTTTTATATGCTCTAATTCAGAGTTCTATTACTGGACTTCTTTCTAATATAGTTAGCAACATTTGATATGCATATTCCTGTCTTTATCCCATGTGTTACAGTTAAGTTAGAAGGTTCTACTTTTTGCGAACTGCTGTCTATAGTTTACTTTGGAAGAGCCTCTGCTTATCAATGCAGCCTCATGTCGTCTTGTGTGGGATTGAAATAACTGATATAAATGTCGGGTTTTAGGTCCCTGCAAGCGATACCGGTTTTATGGGTGTTATCTTTGGGTTTGGCGGGAGCCCGCCAAAGGAGGGACGGCTGCCTGTCAATTCCTATTGGCTTACGTGCTGGTATTACAGCATCTAGTTTTATTTTTCTGAAGGGAGGATTCATAAGCTATAAGCCCTCCATCCCCATGCATCATTCTCTTTGGATTATGGGCATCGACACACATCAACCGTTGAGTGGGGTGGCTGGTTTTGCATTTGCTTTGTTGGTGGCTTGCATTTTCTTCCCCAGAAATCCCATGCTGAAGAAGAATTTGAGGACGATTCGAGAATAGAAGATTGATTGTATCTTAACTATTTTGTAACATGAAAGCATCGTTTGATTGAGCGCCTGATCATTCTTTGCGAAGTTGCATGGGGGAGCTAAATGGCTGGGAGGTTTCAGAGGGTACTAAGGAAGAAACATCCCTATGAACCCTGCAAAATCGTTGTCCAAAATGAGGAATGCCTTTACGTAGGTATTGCTGCTCACAGTGGCTCAATTTATTTCTCGTCTGTATATCAATGGCTGCAGTTTATATTGTTTTGTAAAGTATTAGCTGTATTTATTATTAGAGGCAGATGTATATAATCAACGAAGAAGGAAGAACATTGTATCAGGACATCTGCACCATTTGAGTGAATAAAAAGGAAAAAGAAAAGCCTACACAGTATTTGATACTTAGAATAAGGATACCTGGGATACCTTAATTAATGGATGTTAGTATCTGCTCTTACAAGAGATCTGCTTGAATTCAACTCAACATTTCATGTTTTTAACAGTGTTAAATTCACATTTGTTTATGACAATATAATCGATTTATGTCCTCGTCAAATATCAATAATGGATATGTAATAGGATTTTCATTTTCTTTTCCCTATTCTTATTTACTTACCAAGTTTTTTGGATTTACAGAGGTATCTGTGGCAACTGAATTTATCGGCCTCCCTTTGGTCTTCCAGTTAGTTTTGAATGATCACATTTTTCAAATCTCTTAGCGCTCTTACAAGCCTTGTTGAAACCCAGCTCTCTTATTATGTATACCCTTTTGGTTTAATGTATAGATTAGATGCAAATGGGGAGAACCCTCAACAACAGTAATACGATAATATGTTAGAAATAATTGTAATAATCTATACCTGTTGAGATTAAAGCACATGTGTAAATGAAACTTGGAGATTCTAACATATTTCTCGAAGTAGGGAGGTATCAGCAACAGCAAAAAAAAGCCTAAAAAAAGCTCATCAACAGCAAAAATGGCCATTTGCACAACTTGGGAGAAAATTTATACATAATCTAGGTTAGTTCATTTCTTACCACAGCTCCCACTAGAAGTTTCAGAGGGTTGAACATTTCATAGCAAAGAGCTCATCAAGGCAGTATCTTAGCATATACAAAGATCATATTATAGATTTAACAGATTTGAGATTAGATTCCAGCCCATCCAAGTCTTCCTATCGGAAGGACAAACAAAGTTGAGTTGAAACATCTCCTTGCTAACATGTTCCCCTGATTCACAGAACCCAACTAGCTTTGCAACAATTTTGGCACTGTCCTGTATGTGTTTCATGTTAAGGGGATCTGTCCATAACTTGTTGACTAGCTGCAGCCTTCTCTGTTTTCCAACTTGTGGAACTTCCCATTTCACATACAACATTTCTCTTTCCTCTGCTGTTAGCTTAGAGCTCACCCTCTTCGCAAGATACTCCCTTTCTTGCTTCAGAGCCTTGACACTGCCAGCATTGCAACCGTCATTATTATTGTTTGTATTCAAATGAAAGCTTAAGAAACATCTCATCTCATCCCAAGTTACGGAGCTTATACCTTGCATAAACAGAGCTTGCAGGTTCATCGCCTAAAAGTGCTGGACTCGCATTTCCAAGCTCCGCTAAGTGTTGCTCCAACCATGTCAATCTTCTCCATTCAACTTCCATATAAATTTGATCAGATGGGTCTCCTTTAAACAGCAAGTAAAACTGTGTCCGATGTACAAGGGAAACATGGCAAAGATGCCATAACATGATGATTTGCTTTCTCTGATCTTCAAATATAGTATGCCAAGAAACTGGAGTATGTTCAATTGTGTCCATTGCCGCTTCAGTTCCATTCTCATTTTTCTCCAAATCCAATACCTATACATATGTTCAATAAGCATGTAAATAAAATATATGCAAGAAGAAAATGGTCTCATTTCTGGTTCGTAATAAATAAATGATAAATACATATACACGTACATATAGGGAAGAAAGAATAAAATATCAGCTGGCCTATGTAAGGTTAAATTCAAATTGTCAACGCCATTCTGTAGACATTTGTAAACTGCCATTCTAACTTATTTTTGGGACACGATATATCTTTGGATGAAAAATTACCATGAATGGGGTTGTCAAAGCAGAACAAACTTTACTACTTTGGGGATGAGGACCTTCCATTCAGCCTTTATTATAACATACTTCAATTTGTTAAGTTGCTGTCAGAGGCTCATGGGACAGGGAAGAGAAGAATTCTTTGCACATTCTAATGGTAACAAGGTCAAGCTTAGAAATTGGGGAAGTCAGTTTGGGGTTTTGCCTTTATCATTATTGGCGTATTGTTCAGGGATGCCCCTCGGTTATATCTGATCTGTAAAGTATTCTCTCTACGATGTATTGATAATCAGAAGAAGGAAATGCTCTTAAGGCAATACAAACTCCCAGCCGATTAGAGAGGGCTGGTAATCTCTCTCCCCTCTTATTTTGCAAAAGAAAACACACAAAAACCATGAACCTATCTTTCCTAATATCCTTACATATGTATAAACACACAAAAACCATGAACCTATCTTTCCTAATATCCTTACATATGTATAAACACACAAAAACCATGAACCTATCTTTCCTAATATCCTTGCATATATACTATCCATATTCCACTAATGGTTCCCTCCTTACACAGCGTTCCCCTAGGTAACTAACTTGCAAAGGAGGAATTCCCCTTCTTGACCCTTCTGGAATATTGGATGGTAATTGGGGGTCTAATCTAACATCACCCCGGGGTCAAAGTAACTTTGTCCCCCCAAGGTGATACACCTCAAGAACTGGCTGCAACCAAGTAGTTTCATGAGCACACAAGTCTTCTAAGCTCACAAGTAATTCAGTCGTTCCAATGTGCGCATTCTTTCGATGACCCGAAATATCATCTGGTTACATTAGCCATTCATAGTCATCATTAAGTACGAGAGGTCCTTACTGCATGGATTCAGCATCACCCAAAGCTTTTTTAAGCTGAGATATATAGAAATGGATTAATGGAGGATGTACCTGGTAGTTGGGAGCGGCTCCAAGTAGCTTCATGGGCATGCAAGTCTTTCCAGCTCACAAGTAATTGAATCCTTCTAGTGTGCATGCAAGTCTTTCGATAGCCAAAAATATCATTTGGATCCATTAGCCTTCATAGTCATCATTAAGTATGGAAGGACCCTACTGCACGAATTGTGAATTGCCCAAAGCTTTTTTAAGCTAAGATACACCGAAAACTGGAATGGAGATTGTACCTAGTAATTGGAGATTCTGGTTTTGTGATAAATACTGCTCCCAAACCAACTCCCAAGGCGTCCGTCTCCACTATGAATGGCTGATCAAAATTTGGAATCTAATAATGGAATTCTTTTGTCTCTCGAAGGCCTCTGTTGCTTCTTCAGTCCACACAATTGGTTTGCTTTCAACAATTAGGATAGGGGAGCTAATGTGCATTCTAAATTTTCCACAAACCACCTATAGTACCCTATGAATCCCAGAAAGCCTCTCAACTCACGTCTGTTCTGTGGTATCGGCCATTTGATTAAGGCACAAATCCTTTTTGGGTCTGCTTGAACTCCCTCAGCTGAAACCCAATAGCCCAAGTATTCAATATTCTCGTTGGCAAACTGACACTTGGCCCCATTGGAATACAACTCAACAAGGATGATGTCATGGACAAAAGGCCAGAATATGCAATTGCTAAGAGATTGAAATGTGAATGGGCCAGTGTGGGATCGAAGGTCATAGCCAAAATCTCATAAGGGCCTTCTTCATGGGTTCTGAATGCAATTTTTGGTTATGTCGTTCTCATGTATTCGAATTTGATGGTACCCTGATTTCAGATCAGATGTTGGAGTAGATTTGAGATCCTTGCAACTCATCAATAACCAGAATTGAGAACTTATCTGGTACTATAACCATCCACCAACCTTCTTTTTGACAAATAACACAGGGCTAGAATGTAGGATTATACTCGACCAAATAATTCTCACTATCAACATTTTATTCATTAAGTGTTCAAATTTATCCTTCTGTAATGAGGATGGCGGTAAGGATGTATTCATAGGAGCAGTTCCTTCCAATAACTGGAGATCGTGTTGTGTGGTGAATCACTAGGCAATTGAAAAACATCAGCGAAGTCCCTGATCACTTAATTGTTAGTAAAAATTTTCATAGGCTACCATTATCTACAACTCATGGGATTAGGAAGTGATGACATTGGGGAGCGATGACAAGTGCCCTGAATTCCACTAAGAATCTATGGTCATTACGGCCCCGTGTTTTTTAAGGTCACATAGGCCTTGGTCAATCTTGGATTACCTTTTAGCATCACTTTACATGGCCCCCAAATAAATAACCTTCATCGTTAGAGATAACCTCAGTACACCCAATGTGTGAAGCCACTACATCCCTAGACTGACATCTACAGCCCCTAATTCTAAGGTTAGAAAGTTTTCACAAATTGTGCTACCAACCCCATTGCCTTTTACTGCGACACCAGTTCCTATCATCACTTCGTAGTTGGTTATTTGTTAAGGAATGTTTGTGGTGGGCTAATTCTAAGGTCATAGGAGAGGCATCTCATATGCCTCTAACTACTCTCTTTAATGGATGTGTGGTGGGCTTAGGGTTGGCCAATTGAGCCCTGGTATTAGGGAGTGCGACATGTTTTCCGGCCTCCAATCTGTTCATGATTTCCACAAGTTATCTCATTGACAACTTGTGGTGGGCTTAGGGTTGCCCAATTGAGCCCTGGTATTAGGGAGTGCGACATGTTTTCCGGCCTCCAATCTGTTCATGATTTCCACAAGTTGTCTCATTGACATGATCATATGAATCCCAACAGGTTGCCACAACACATAACCTCATCCCTAACTACCGGATCCAATCCATTCAAAAAAGCATTTTCCAATGATTTGTCTATCAAGTGAAAACGTGGTGCCTTCAAATGTATTTCAGTACTCCAATATTATTTCCTATTTTATGGTTAGGAACCTTCCTCGCACACTTCCTTTCTTTGATGTGTCAACAGACATATTTCCAAATCATTCTAGTTCTACAAGGGTTCTCATCCCTCCAATTCTCAATACTAGTATAATGTGACACCTCCAAAAATCACAACTGTAACTGGTAATTTCTCAGAATAAGTGAGCTTATGCATTTGGAAATATCTGTCAACCTTGAAAAGCTACGAACCTTAGTCATCTCCTCCAAACCTATGCATTTCGACTCTCTTAAGTGTACTATGATCCTCTGTTCCTTCTTATGTTTTCTGCATTTCATCAGGAGTTTGTCCCAATGTCTCACACTAGAGTTTTTCCATTCCTTTTCTCCCCAATGTCTCGGTAGAGTTTTTCCATTCATTTTGCTTATGACCAGAGCCTTCAATAATAGTTGAAAATGAAGTTCTTATCCTCGTTGTACTCAACAATGATATCCCAATGACCACATTCGCGAACATTTTTTTTTGGTTTCATCCACATTTTGCTTGGCTTCATCTGCTTGAACATTGAGGCATTCCACCATTTTTTTTTTTTTCAACGATGAAAAATTGTTTTCCATCACTGGAAATTTCTCAACATTCTTCCCGATACTTTTAATTTCTTGATTGGTCATATCCAAACATTCTTTGCGCCTCTTCTGAGTCATTTTTACAAATTTACTAGGGCGAACTTATCCGATACCAATATGCAAGGTATCTCCGGATGATGTTGATATTAAGAAGAAAGAAATGCCTAAGGCTTTACAAAACTCCCAACCAATTGGAGCCCGAGAGAGGGCTGGTAAAGTCTCTCTCTCTCCCCTCCGATTTTGCTGAAGCAAACACACAAAACTCTAAACATATCTACTTTCCTCTTAATATCAGCATCTCCCGGATGATGTTGACATTAAGAGGAAAGAAATGCCTAAGGCAATACAAAACCCCCAACCAATTGGAGGGGAGAGAGGGCTGGTAATCTCTTTCTCTCTCTCCCCTCCTATTTTGCTGAAGCAAACACACAAAACGCATAAACATATCTACTTGCCTAGCCACCTTACATATATACTACCCACATTCCAATAGTGATCCCCTCCTTACACAGCCCTCCCTTGCATAACTAACTTGCAGAGGATGAATTCCCTTTCTTGTCCCTTCTAGAATATTGTCTTATAATTGGATTCCCATAATCCTAAGATTCCTTACTTTTGGAGCCTGGTGAGTGTAGCTGGTTAAATTTTACATGTTCACTAAAGACTGTTTTACAAAGCCCACTAAACTTCTAGAGGAGCCATTTGAGGAAAGCCTACTTCTCTATGGGAGGCAAACGCATCCCAATTTAGTATGCTTTGTGCAGTTATTCTACTTCACTTCTGTATCTCTTTCAAAAAAATCCTAGGATCCGTAAAGAGAGAGGATTGTTTTGGTGAGAAGGGGAGGTCACAAAAGGAGGGTTGATGGCTACATTTGGTTAGTCAAAATTCTATGTCAAAGTTGTATTGGAAGTGTAGCCTATATTTTCCTATTTATCACACTCTCTTTTTCCTCGTGTTTGAATTATCCCTGCTATAATTTATATTAGCTGTATAGCATAGAGTTATGTCTATCTCCTTGATTACTGATTGCTTATATTTTCCTATATTTTTCACTGTGCCTTTTCGGAGTGCGCTTAACACCCTGCTGCAATTTATATTAGCTATAACATGGACTTAGCTGTAGCTGCCTATAACTGGCAACTGGCTGATTTCTTTCCACGCTTAACTAATACTGTATTTTCAAGTTATCGCTATGTACATGACTAATATAATGAGACAAAAAAGAATCTGAGAAATTTATATACCTGGCAAACCAGCAGTTGCTTCTGATACTGTAGTTTTGCCACCCGTTCTTTTAACTCTGTAACATAAGCTCTTATACTCCGTATATTCTCCTCAGCAGCAGTCTTGAACATTCTCTGCATTTTTTTCACATTAACTGAGCTAGATTGCTGTGATAGAGGAGTACTATCCCTTGATACATTTCTGCAGTTTTCATCACAGTTTGGTATAATTTTGCGCGTCCTTGAACGTTCATCAAGAGCCGAAGTCACTTTACAAGGAACCCTGTTCTCTGTTTCATACTTCGTTACACTACGGGAAGAAGACATAGGAGAGCATGGGGATCGAATAATTTGATGCACGTTTGTACCGTTATTCAATGCAAAAGGAAGTACTTTTTTCCTTTTATGCTGGTTCTTCAACTCCGGTGTATCCTCATCGTTTGGACTTGGATAAGACGAGACCAAATTGTCAATAGATTTCTGAACATTCTCAAGCTTCTTTTCAAGAGATTCAATTACAGTTCCTTCAGATTTAAAACGAAGTATTTCTTCCATCAGGTTTGTCTTATCTCCAGCAATGGTTTCTTGAGGAATGGAGCTTAAAACATGCATGTCCTTGATTTCGGATAGCATCTTCGCAATAGTTTCAGAGGCTTCTTGACTGCCCAGTTTATGGGAAGCAACCTCCCTATGCAACACGTCAAGGGCTCGATTTGCTTCCTCACCAAGCTGCCTCTGACAGTGTTCTAGCTTTCTGATTTCATGCACAATAATGGATGGATCTATTGACGGTATTGATCGCCTCAAAGCTCCTTTCCTTCCTACTACTACACTTCTTAGCTTGGATCCTGGAGGAATTTTAGTGGGAGTTCGATCATCATCTCCTCGAAACGATAGGCACCTAACTACATGAGAAGGCCCACATTCATCTATTCCCTGCAAAAGTCAACAATTCAATGATTAAAAATATCAATAATAACGGTGAATATTATAAACCTCAAAATAATGTACCTTCGGTTCCTCATATACTTTTTTTTCTTGTTCAAGTTGACACCTTAGCTCCTTTATTTCTTTCTCCATCTACAAAAAAAGATTTTCTTATTACAATAATTATACAGAGATACGAAAAATTCAGATCTTTAGACCCAACGAAAGAACAGACAAGTTTAGGATTATTTTACTAGAATGGAAACGCTCAAAAGCTGGGCTCTCAATGAGCAAGAAATAAAAACTCAATCTAATAATAGTTCTGCTGCTGTATAATTACAGCTATCCAATCACAATGGCAGTCTGTCAGGGAACGGCCATTGGACACGCATGGAAACTAAAACATTTAATAAGTTGTATGTGAACAGTTTTTTCAATGTGATACCTGCTGAATCTTTTTATCCTTTTCCAGTAGTAAAGACTGTAAACACGTAGAAGAGACCTCTGGACTTTTGAGTTCAGCCTCAAGTCTGGCGACTTCACTTTGCAAATGTTTCAATAATCTGTTGTCTGAGACAATCTAGAAAGAGGATGATTGAAACAAGTAGTAAATCGATCAAGCCAAATTCATCTTTAAATTCTTTATTGCATGAATGCCTTTGACAACCTAACCATTCCGGGGTTTTTCAATTTCCAATATCAATACAATATCTTTTATGCAAAGAAACCAAAGATCTAATATCAGAGAGAGATAGTTATATTCCGTGCAAAGAAGGATATGCAGGGGTTGAAAATGTTGGTAGTGATAACATTATTAGACTCCAAGTTACCGACATTTTATAAATATTTCAGAAGAGATTGAGAAAATGGTTGAAATAGCAATGATTTTGTCCACTGATACTAAGATAATGGATACCTTCAACAACACTGTTTAAAATTAGTAGGACAAGGAAGCGTGAACAAACACAATTGGGAACAGAGTTTTTATTTTACATAAAAATAGGTTGAATTAGACAGTGTCTGTCTTGTACTAGTGTTTGTACATCCGAGGTTTCTAAAGATCTTGTAGCATGTACTCTTAATTCTGCACACTCGAAGTTTCCATATTCAAGACTAACACATACTTCCAAAGACGGTTCAAATTTCACTTCATCAACTGTAGATAAAAGTTTGTGACCCTGCTTTTGCTCTCTTATTCTTTTAATTGGTGGCTTCATTGACTGGGAGTTCTTTTTGTTTATTTATTTGGTTGTTCAGGTGGAAATATGGTTTCTTGGTGCTGCTGTCTCTGGATTATATAGGCCTGGTTTGCTAACAATTTTGATTTTGTGTTCTATGTTTAAAATTTACGCTTATTTTCCCCCAATTTCTCAATTATGATTTTTACTTTTCTTAAAAAAATACATGAATTCCTAGTCAAATTCTAAAATTAAGAACTACTTTTTGTTTAGTTTTTAAACTTGACTTAGCTTTTGCAAACATTAGTAGAGCTAGATAACCACACATATAAACTTGGGTAGAAGTAGTGTTTATAAACTTAATTGTCAGAAACTAGAAACTAAAAACCAAATCGTTATTCAAGCCTAAGCTTTCTGGCTTTTTGTTTTTTGGTTTTTTTTAATGGTTGTAGTAATGCTCCATGTTGAGTTTCTTCTTCTTTTCTTTTTCCCTTCCCCTTTTTATCTCACTCTCCAGAGAGTTCTTTTTTTTTTTTTTTTTTCTTCCAGAACATTTCCGTCTCATATTATCAATGAAAAGTTGAAAAGCTATCTTTTTTTTATTTAAGGGGAGAAAGGTAATTTCAATACAGTAACTACAATAATCAAAGGTAGCTCTTGATTCTTCACAAAAACTCATTGATTGCGAGGACATGGGATCCTATATGCAAGGGCATTCGTCTTAACATGAGTCTAAATATTGCTACGAGACTTTTAGAGACCTCAAAATTTTCCAAATAAGCTACTAATGAGACTAACAAAATAAAACTAACAATAACATTGTTATAAAAAACTACGACAAAATCTTACAGTATTTGAAGTACAATTTAATATTTTTACATACCATGTTTACTTGGGCATTATTGGTAACTTCCTTTGCACTAGTTGCAAACGAAAGTGTATTCCTTGTTTGCTCCACATGACTTAAAGCTGGGCTCATGGTACAAATAATTGCTGTACGAGCATTTCCCCCAAGTGAGGACTGCAATATTCGTGTAAGTTTTGAATCCCTATATGGTATGTGGCCACCTCTTCTCCCACCACTGCAAAAAGAGAGGAGAAGATTGAACTACATAATTACTTTTCCTAACAACAAAAGAAGTAAAGGAATACACTGTCATTTACTGCAATATACTTTCCTGTCGTCCACTCCCTCCCCCAAAGTGAACAATATTCATGCACCTTTAATCCCCATATGGTATTGTAGCCATCTTTTGCCCAGCATTACAAAGAGAGAAGAAAAAACCATATAATTTCCTTACCCTATAATTAAAAGGAGGCTTTCCAACTTTTTGAAGATAGAAATCTGAGAAAACTGTTTGATTTTTTTTTTTTTTTTTTTTTTTTTTTTTTTTTTTTTTTTTTTTTTTTTTTTTTTTTTTTTTTTTTTTTTTTTTTTTTTTNGGAACAATCGTTTAATCTAGATCTGTTTGATTTTGGTCTTATACAAGATAGTCTAGCACCTCCGAAACTAGTCCAGTCCCCCGTAGGAGCTTTTTTTTTTATTTATGATGCATCTACTCTATATAATTGGGGGGGGAAAGAAAAGTAAATTAAAACATCTTGTACTACTGTATGCAACTGAGACAACCTTATCGATACCAATTCCAAACACCGGTCTTCTTTTTCAAGGAAACAAAACTTATCAATATTATGAAGAAGTATAAGTAATGTTACAAACAACTCCTAGGAGCAAATCAGAGCAACCATAAAATTCCAGTTGAACAAGTTAACCCTATAACTAGCTAGAGCAAATACTTCAAGTTGGATGTGGAATCACGATGTAATAAATTGTCAAAACTTTACCTTTAACTCTTCAGTTTATTGAAGGAATGAAATTAAATTAGATTGAATTGGCTTTTACCTTAGCTTTCTAATGACAGTTGTAAGTGTCAATAAACTACGGTTGATGTGGCTACCTTCCTTCAATCTTGTACCATCTGCACTAGTTTGAGAAACACGTTCACTTCCAGCAAGGTCCACAAGGTTCTGAAAATTATAGTTCCAGCTACCATAAATAGTCTTCTATGTGATAAGAAAGAGAGGAAAGTAATGGCCAACATACCAAACTTGCTATGAAAGATTTCACACAATTTGTAGCTTCCCGGAGGCTACTTTCAATGGTCTGAAAAGAGAGGAAAAGAAAGTGGGGGTTATTACCAAGAGAAGTGACCATATGAATCTAAACAAAATATATAAGATATTCTATATAAGAATCTATATATATAGTGTGTGTATATATATAGTATGATACAAGACAATAATGAGTGAATAAATCTAGAAAGTCCATGTTCAACAAATGTTTAATACCTCAAAACTTACGCACTTGTCAAATCTTTTATATACATATGGTATGATATACGACCAATCATGAGTGAATAAATCTAGAAAGACACACTATAGTCTGAGAAATATGTCCATAGACAACAAATGTTTAATATCTCAAAACTCACATTAGTCAAATCGAGAGATAAGGTGTAACAACCCAAACCCACCGCTAGCAGATAAAAGATCAAACAATCGATCAATCTCACTTACTCCACTTCAATCTCAGAGAGAATGAGTTTAGGACCCATAAGAACAAGGAGGCATGTGCTCCCACCATATCAATAAATGTCTTATATTGAGATGTAGAGCAGGAAACTTAAAGTTTTTACAGGTAATAACGCCTCATCGGAAAAGATCAAGAACAAGATTTCTTAAGTGGTCAAAGGGCAGAACTAAAAAGAGAGAATTCTTGCAACTTAATCAATCTCTTTGAGAAGACTGAGTATTATCGAAATTCAGACTTTTGGGACTGGGGCACAAAACAATCACTTAAAACTGCTGGTAATAACATGAGCAATACGTGATGTGGGAAGAATAATAATGAGAGAGATCAAATATGGTGTGAGCATTTTTGGGATTTTAAAGGAGGGAATTCTCCAGGAATCAAGTATTTATTAGAAACAAACTAGGGTAAAGAACTAGGAATTAAAATAGAAAATTAAAAGAAAAAGGAAAACTAAAATCCAAATTGGAAACTAAAAGGAATTATTCAAGGATTTAACCAAGTTTAATATAAATTTATCCCAAAAAAAGGAAAACTAAAATCTTACCACATCATCAAGTTTTTCTAGGAGAAACAAAAAAGAAAAAGTCATTTCTTTCGATGGTTGGAAAATTTTCCCACTAAAAATGTTAGCTTCTTTAGCCATGTCTGGAGAATCATAACAATCCTCAAAGTCAAACCAATGAAAATTTTCTGTTCTTTTACGGACCCATTAGAAAATTTGTTACATGCAAAATAATTTAGGAAGAAATTTGTAGAAGAATATCATGATAATAACGCTTCATCTTAGATATCCCCCTTCCAAAAAAAAATCTCACATTAATTCCAATCTTGAAGATGTTTAAATTGGGCAGAATGGAGGGTAGGTTAATTCCTTTAGATATGGGCCAGCTCAAGTTTTGCAACAAAAAAGATAGGCTTGCAATTGAACTGGGCCTCGCAATTTCTAGAGCTCCCATGCAATTATTAATTCCCATGAGGATATCCAACACTATACTGACTTGACCTGATCGTTGATCCTAGCTCATAGTGTTACCTAACCTACCTTACTATCAAACAAATCCAAAAGAATACAAAATCCTAACTAACGAGCATATGAATTGCTTGATGGACATATACGATCAACATGAACCCGTAGCCACTTTACTAACTGCAAACAGAGTGGAACTTGGGGAATATGTAACAATAGTAAGGCAAACAATGAATAAGATCGCGACAAAATACAGATTCAATTCCAAGGTTCTCTTGTTAGAGATCTATTGAGTTAGGCTTCTAATTTACCAAGCTGAACTTAAAGAATGGGTATCGCCAAGTAAGGATAAAGTTAGGTGACAAATGCATGATTAAACACGTAACTCAAGTTGTGACAAATGCATGATTAAACACGTAACTCAAGTTGACTCAACTTTTCTTTTCTTCTCTTGTCTCTCTCTCTCTCGTTTGAGGAAAGTAACTGCACTTTCATTCTGTTTGGAACACTGATCGACTCTATGAATAGATAAGCCCAGCCTCTTAGGAACTTTTTATTAGTGGAAACCAGCGTTAATTAATACAAATAAAAGAACAGAGGCCCATATAAAAAGAAAGGCTCAAATTAACAGGGGAGAACAAAAAACTTTAAGAAACGGGTATAAGAAAAGGTAGTAGTACAAAATAAATTTGAACCAAGAGCTAAGAGAAGAAATAAAATGTGTCAAAATCTAAAAATCTTCTCACTAATACTGAACCATCTATCCTTGTTCCTATTTCTTTCCAACCATGTAAACTATGTTATGGGAAAGAAATTGACCGACTAGAGAACACAATCTCTTGAAAAGAAGGTCCTCATAACTTCTCCCCTCATCTCGTGAACTCACTCCCCCTCCATACTATGAGAGTGAAAGGGCACAACCACAAACAAAACCTTCGACTATCTATTGTGTCTTTTAAAATAGATAGTGATCACATCTCTCCTTTACAGCTTACTGTTACGGGAGGGAAGAGTATTCCAAATTGTAAGCCACCAATACTACTACATGCTTCTAGTTAATTTTGGGCCTTAAAATTAACAAGAATTGCTCTATTATAGCAGGGACCGATTGGGATGAAGTTAAACTCAAAAGATGAGCTTGCTTTATTAGGTATCCCTTCCTTTGTCATATCTAAGCTTACCCTAAAGGTCAAAATCCTAGTGCCTTTCCTTTTGGATGAGGTGGACTAATTATATGGGGGGTGAGGTTGTTTCACCACCGTCGCTTTTTTTGAGGTTAAAAACCCCTATTAAGGAGAAATACGATTCCACATTAAATCACATTATTTATTTTATTCTCATCATTAGCATATTTTGGAGCTTACCAGCCTGATAATCTGATGTGATCGTGAGCTTTTATCATTGAGAGCAGTTTCGCCAACTTGCCTTTGGGCTGTAGAGACAACATTGTTAAAACAAAATCATTAAAAGTATTTTAACTGAATACAGAACCATGAAATCGCTATCAAAAGTGATGAAAATGAAGATAACATACTATATGAAGAAAAATAATAATAACAAAGATGATTACCTTCACATATTCCAATTAATTGCCTAAGGTGTTCGCTGTCCTTGACAATTTCTTCTACCAGTTTTTCCACAGTGGTTCCTTTCTGTATTTAAAAAAGGCAATGTTCTATTTGTCCTAAATATGGCTGGGTAAAGGTCAACTCATAAGGAGGACTCGTTAACAATACCTCAGGGTCATCCAAAAGACGAAGAGATCCAGTTTTGCTATTCAAAAGGTCAACAACAGTCTCGTTATATATTTCCAGAGCAGAAAATTTTAGAAGAAAATTTCTCTCTGGTGTCTACAATATGAAATAGAAAAGATTAAATGAAATATAACATGATCCAGTGAACAATAAGGGATAAAGTAGAAAAAACATATATAAAGATTTAGATAGCTCACATTCTTGATGTGAACAAATATGTCATTGACAGCGTTCTCAGTAATGCCTCTCATGGTAAATGTCTTACCACTGCTGGTCTGTCCATATGCAAAAATTGTGGCTGCAGGAAAATAAGAATTTAGTAGCAGTGGGTAACATTCAGAACAAAAGTCATTCACAAAAAGGTTGTATATTGCAAATGAGCCGCAGCATGGTGCAAATTCGTTGTTACCATTCATTCCTGTAAGAGCAGATAAAGCAACATCTCTCGCACCCTCTTCATACACCCGTTGAGTAGAGCATGTAGGATCAAAAACTTTATCTGTCGCGTGTAAGGAGAAAAAAAAAGCTATCAAATTCTCCAGAAAATATTTTGCATACAAGGAAATTGAGCTTTCAAATCTCCTTTGATTTCATTACTTCGATGGTCAACATTTATCAACAATAACAAAGGAAGAACATGAACAGAAGAAAAAAGTTCAACAGTTAATCTCACGAACATACCAAAGCAAAATGGATTTACAGGCCTCTCATGATTGGGATTCTTGAACACAATGGTATGTTCATCCAAGCAATCCCATGCAATGAGATCGTACATGGCTTGCTCTCTCCGGTTGAGAGGCCTTACACGTACAGTGACTAGTATCTTCTCCTCACGAGTTCTCGGACCCCCTGGAGTCGTAGAAGGGGTCCTCTGAATTTTGGACAACGGCGTGGCTGGCGTTCTAACCATCTCCTTCGTTGCTCGTGAGCCCTATGGCTAACACACAACAATTAAGCAATAATTACTCAAGTTTTTCAATTAGCAGACAAATTATCCCCCAAGAATTCCAACATTTAACACTCAGTGCACGGAATTGATTAAAATCGAGTGAAGTTATGCATCAAAAGTAAAATTACGAACGCGGAATCTTGGAAATTCTTGAAGTCTCATCAAAATTCGCGAGAAAAAGCAAGAATCAAAGAGGGAAAAATGAACATAACTCACGAATCATATAGTAAGCTCATGAATCATTCTGGTTATAGAAAAAGAAGCAAAGTAAGAGAAGGAGCGCTCACAGAGGAGATAATGGGAGAAGAAAGAACTGAAAACGAAGGAGAAGGCGAGGCGGAAGATGGAGTGAGAGCATTTAGTGCAAAACGGGAGAGGAGAGAATCTGCGAGTGGGCGCTTCGATATGAATATAGAGAGAGAAAAAAGAGTAACGGCTACTTTAAATTTGATATTTGAGGTGAGAGAAAGGTTTTAAAATAGGAATGTGAGTGGCATTGCCATTCGTCCACTCACTCACACTCGCCGATGGAGCGGGCACGCTTCATTATACGCCATAATGCCTATTAAATCTTATTTTATTTTCTGTTAATTCTTATTTTATTATATATATATATATATATATATATATATATATATATCTTATTTTATTATTAACTTAATGTTCATTCTTTCCAATTATTTTGTTTTATTTGGAGTTTCATATTTAAATTATTGAAATTTTTATCTAAACTTGTGTCCATTTTTAAAAATTATATATTTATTTATTGCATCAAAAAAGTGCTATAGAATTATAATGTTCGAGTAATAATCTAAAAGATTTATAGTATAGGAATAAGTTAAATATTTTATTTTTTGGTAACACTATTGATACAACTCTCTTTCTAATTATTACAAATGATTTGATCTCAATAGTTCATGTGAGACATGTGAGTGGGGTATCTAATACAATGGGTTTGTGTAAGACTAGATCACAAAATATTTAATTTCTCTCTATCAATCTGTGACTCAATCTTAATTATAGGCGAGTTACGAACTCCTATCTATGGGAGCTTGTTCTTTTATTTGTATGGATGATAATGACTTTTATGATCAAAATATGTTTGTTATTTAAAATGACTCTCAATAAGCACGATTTTTTTTAGCTATATCAATTCAGTGGAAAGAAAAAGTTGGTGGATTCAAATTATATAATATATTCAAATTAAAGTGTTTAAATTAATATTTAATATATTAAATAGAAAAAATATATTTTATTCAAAATATTTAAATTAATATCTAATATCATTCTACGGTTGGATATGACCCTTAAATAATAACCACTAACAATTATCATAAAATTGCACGGGTACAAGAGTTGATAAGAGATGAACATATTCGGAGAATCTTATTAAAAAGAAAATTGTAACAACCTGTCGAGATGCATATTATTCCTAATCAGAAAGGATTACAAAGAAAATATACAAGAAAAAACTTAGTTTTCAAATTACCAAGAATCTCTAGTTTTGTTTGAGTATGGGTGTGGTATAGGTTCATATGAGTACACAAGTAAATGTAGAAACAGAAATAAATAGGAAAAAAAAAAAAGGAAAATCAAGAGGAATGCATGCAATATGACAGGTATGAAAAAATTTGAAGAAGTTAAAAAAAAAAAAAAAAAAAAAAAAAAGGGATTTTGTTTGTGTGTTCATATCAAAATAGGCCGACATGAACTGGAGCCGACGTGCTCTGGATCCAATCCACCTCTAGAAAACTTCCTATCGTAAACTTCGCAGCCTCCTCCTTATCAATCACCTTATGCCCAGGCCACTTCACCCTGCCCTCGGTCTTAGCCCCTGGCCCTTCGTTGTTAAACTCCGCATAGTACAACGTCTTCAGGGCAAAATCCCCTTTCCAAGCCAACCACCCATCCGGGTGAATTATGTCCTCAATTGTGGACTCCATTACAATGGTTCTTGAGTACTCCTTCCACGGCCTCCCCAGGTAGCTTTTGAACTGCGACTTCACTGGCTCCAGTGTCTTGTCGGCTAAAATCTTGCACCTTTGCAGCACTATGGCTGTGGTTTCGTGTCTGTCGCTTCTGCCCTGTGCTGTCACTATGTTCTGTTGGTTGTCTAACGGCTTTTTCACCATCATGTTGCAGTTTTGGAAAATGGCGGCTGCGTCTCCGAAGATGAAGTCGATGGTGCCTGCTATTAGGCAGCTTCTGTAGAAATGGCGGTGGGCCTGTGCGTAGAGCGTGTCCTGGTACCCGTCGAAGCGGCAGTTTAGGAATATGGCTCGGTCTGCTTGGACTCTTGCTGCTACGGCTTGGTGCTTCTCTGGACCTGCTGTGTTTCTGAATCCTATGGCTTGCGCGAAGAAGCCGTCTCCAAGTGCCACTGCATGGACATGGATTACAATAGTAAAGGAGGGCAGAGGGCAGAGAAGGATTTGTTTAGCGTTTTGAGTATTGTATTTGTAGCTTACCGAAAGATGCGGTTTGGAAAGTTCTAACTCCATCCGCGAAGTTCTTGTTTCCACTTATCATGCTCTTTTGTGACCCATCTCCGTACATTGTCACATTTACCATCTTTTTGGTGATCACCACTGCCTCCTCGTAGATTCCTTCCTTCAGATAGATCACGTACCTGAAAAAGATTTGCTTTTTGTTATGGATTGTGTGCTAATAAATAAATTTGTTCGGACCGTTGAACATTGTTGTTGGGAGTGAGTCTCACGTTGGCTAATGGAAATGGAATGATCATGGAATGATCATGGGTGTATAAGTAATCTCGGTTGGTTGAGGTCTTTTGAAAAATTAGAAGCATAGTCACCATAATATACTCAAAGTAGACAATATTATGCCCTTAACTTAGGTATAAAGGTCAAACAAAGGGTGTAGGCGGTCCACGGCTCCTTAGGCTGTTTTAGGAGATCGGCAGACCAGTGCTTTTTAATGGATTGTCATTTCAAATGTTGCTCCCTATCGGCTTCTTATGCCAAGATATGGATCCAATAATCCATTGGCCTTCTTATGTTAAGATATGCAAATCGGTGTTTTTTTATGCATTGTCATTTCAAGTGTTACTCCCATCGGGCTTCTTACGTCACGATATGGATCCAATAATCCATCGGTCTTCTTATGTCAGGATATGGATCCAATAATAAATATTCTTTTTTTGGTGGTCCATGAGTGTCTGCTCAATCAATTAGTTATGAAATATCATTAACTCCAGAGATAAAAGGTGTACTTTGTTCGAGGACTCTAGAGAAGGAGTCGAGCCTCGATTAACAGGAGGCTGTTTGAGGACTTCATAGGTTGTTCAAGGACTCCAGAAAGAGTCGAGCCTTGATTAAAGGGGTTGCTCAAGAGATTCATAGGTTTCAATTAAAGGGGCTATTCGAGGGTTCTATAGATCTGGAGAGCTGTTCAAACTTGGTGGTCAAAGAGGGAGGGCTGTTCGAGACCTTCATAGGCCTAAAAGACGCTCTATAGTGTACTTTGTTCGAAGAAAGATTGTCGAGAATTTTACTAATTTAGAAAATGATAATGGATTTTCACTAATATCATACCATTGGGTGGGTAGGTCCGTGATATTAATAATAAAAACTGATAAGAGATTTGGATTTAGTAATTGATCGATGACATACCGTCCATCATATTTGGCAGGCATGGCAGCCAAGGCTTCATTAATAGTTTTAAAATTGCCAGACCCATCTTGGGCAACCACAACATTAGGCGTAGGCTTATCCCCGGCCGTAGCGCCCTTCAACATCCTCCGCTCATTGCTATCCATCCAGCTTGGAAGTTCATCCTGGTCCATTAAACGCCGTCGTGTTGCAGCACCCTCCCCAGGCCCCTCAGACTCAAACTTAGAGAAGAACGTAGCCACCTGCGATATCATCGCCATCGAATTACTCGTCAATTCCTTCCCACTCTTCCCAATCTTCTCCATTTCCGCCTTCATCTTAGACCCATCAGGGAACCCATCAACACAAGTCTCATGGTACGACATAACCGCACTCAGCCAGTTATTCAAATCCGGCGTCGCTTTCTCCGTCAGCTTCCCCTGATTCTTCTTACTCACCGCCGTCATAGACATCTCTAATTCCTCCACAGCGTCTTCCATCAAAACCTTACAGTCCTCGAACGCACCCTTCTCCTCCGGCGTCGTGAATTTCAAGTTAGTGGCCTTTTTCAAAGCGGATTTGACCTCAGCCGCCGCGGCGGTGATGGCCAGCTTAATCAGCTCTTTGGGGTCAGAGGATTTGGGGTCCGCCTTCAAGCCGTCCTTCAAAATGCTCTCGCATTTCTCTTTGTAGTCTGTGGAATTGCATATCATCACAATCATTTTCTCAGCACTGGACGCATCCTTGGCGTTGGTGCCGGTGTCAGTGTCGGTGTTGGATTTGGGATGTTTCTTGGATTTTCCGTCTTTGTTGGAGGTTTTGGAGGAGGAGGAGGAGGAGGAGGAGGGAGCAGGGGAGACCTGGATGAAGACGGCGGCGGCTATGAGGAGGATGATCACGGTGGCTAACACCACGGTTATAATGACTCTCTGTCGGAATTTACGTGCCCTCTCAAGTCGTCGGCGTTCAGAGATTTGGTCGAAATCTTGGAACACCATGGTGGTGGTGGATGAATTTGGTTAATGGCTAATGGCTAAGGCAGAGAGACAACTCTGCCTTAGGAGAATCCAAGCCAGAGGCCACAACACAAAATTAGTGAGAAATAATGGGAAATATGTGTGTACTTATTTATTCTTGTTTGATCTCTCCTTTGATTTTCCCTTCGATTTTGGGTTGGTTCAATTGGTTTCTTCCCTATCGAACTTGGGTTAATCTGTGTGCCCTCTTGGAGGTGTGGGGTTTGGGAGTCTTATTATCATGGTACCAATGGAGGAGGTTTGGGGTGTGTGGTACGGTATGCATTTCTTTTAAAAAAGGAAAAAGTTGGTTAAAAAATGTGGTAGTGTTGTGAGGAGACAGTTCCAAGCCCAATACTCGCGCCGATATCACCGCCTCATCTGTCCTATTCTTTCCCTCCGTTCGTTTATAGAATGTTTTTCTACTTCCTATGTTCATGGAACCATCCACTTGTCACTTAATCCAATCACCCCGAAGGAGGACGTGGCAAAAACACTCTCAAACCCTACATCAATGGCGGATAAACTTATGTAATATGTATCGTGATCAATGGCTATTACATACATGTAGGGTTCAAATACAACGCAAGAAGGTGATCTATTATAGTTATTTCTCTTCAAAAACCACATGCTTAGGCGGAACAAAATTTGAAGAAAGAAGGTGATCTGTGAAGCGTACATAAACGGCATTTAAAATTAAATTGTTTTAATTTGTTATTTTATAACCGGTTTCTTTAATGCATATGAAATTCCCATGCAAACTCTCTCTCTCTCAATCCCTTTACGTATA